TCCTTGAGAGCAATCACTTCTGTGCTGCCAAAAAAAATGAGATGTGATTTCTTTCAAGTCATTACTGTGATCTCCAATCAAAGAATAGCAAAGACAGTAATTAGTACTCCCTACCAAAGCATCATCAAATTTGACATAAACTGTACTTGTCCTTTGTAGATTCAAAATGAAACATTTCTAATTCTAAGAATTTTCTCAGGAGCTGCTGTCATCTGGCAGAGTTTTCTGTATTTGTTGCTCCTTATAACCTCTTCCTGCAGCTAACATTCATTTAAAAAATAAAATATAGCTTTTGGAAGAATAAACAAGAAGCACCATATTACTTCCAGAGTGAAATCAGCATGGAAAGCATTAAAAGTAAGGGGAGAATGGAGGCATTTAGAAATGCCACCTTCATTTCCTGGCAACACTGAACAGGTAGGTATTTGTCCAGAAAGCTATGTGCAATTTCCAGGGTCTAGGAGGGTCAGTTGGTAAGACTTGAGTTTGTTTGTGTGTGTGTGTGTGTGTGTGTGTGTGTGTGTTTAAATGCGCTCTGAGTAGCCACAAAATGGTCTCCAGCAAAGTGCAGAAAATCAGGAAAACTTGTTTAGAAAATCAGTTATCTTACCATTCAAAAGGTAGTCATGAATATTGTGTTAAATATCACCTAGTTTGATAGTTTTTAGAGACTAAGGGAGGTTGGTGAATCCAGATCCCCTTATCAGAGACAGGGCAGAAATGAACAAAGAGAATCGCAGCTCTATGGTTCATTTCCCAAAGAAAGGCAGATGACTCTGATGAAAACTTTATTTTCACTTGAGTTTGTTCTGTTCCAGAAATGTTTAGTACTAAATATTACACATGCTGAATCTTTCTTTTAAATACGCAAAGATAACAGCAAATGGGCTATCCTTCATGTCTTACTTTATTAACAATATCTCTTTTTTTTCACCTGGAAAATATAATCTGTGGGCAAAATGGTCCCTGGGCTTAAGGTAAATATACCTTCTCCATATTCTGCTGAAAAATTATGGATTCCTTAGTTTCTTTGTATAAAATAAAGCAATAATACTGACTTGTTTATTTCACAGGAAGGTAGAATAAACGACCAGATAAAATTTTTTCAGGAAGAAGTATTATGGAACTTAATATGTGCCGTCCAATTTAATAGCTACTAGAGACACATGCCCATTTAAATTTGTAGTAAATAAAAAGTTTTGGTGCAAAATTTTGGTTTTATTTGTTGTGTATCAAGAGCTACATGTTTTTGAGGGGAGAAGCACACCTTGCTATGCTCAGGGATTACTCCTGATTTTGTATTCAGGGATCTCTCCTGACAATGCTCAGAAGACCATATGCTGTCCTAGTGATCAAACTAGAGGCAGTAAAGCATTTCTGTACTTAACTTCTGTACTATCTCTCTGGCCCAGCAGCTATCATCTCCAGGAACAGGCTTAAAAAGCATCATTATAATTGTAACAAGTTCAATGAAAGTGTTCTAGCATATATAGTTTATTATGCTTAAGAAGAAATCACATATTAAAAACCAAGTTTTTTGACACTCTATTAAGATTTTTTGTAAGTGAATATACCTATTTGATATTAATATTGTTACAAATTTTAGAAAAATATAAAGTCTTTTGAGAAAAAATCTTTGAGTCTCAGAACATCTTATAATGATTTTTAATATAACCCTTTTGTTATACTCATAGATCTAGAGAAATCAACGATTTAAACTTCTAATGCAGAGATGTCCAATCAATAGCTTGTCAAAGAAAAAGGGAGCACCATTCTCTGGAGCTCACATCAGCATTCATTACTTCCTCTGTACTTCTTTTCACATGTCAGTTTGATTGGACAGCTTCTCATGTCTCTGACTAAGTCTTCTTATCCTGAAAGCTCATGCTACCAGCATTTTTCTCCTGCATATGTAGCTAGGTAGACATTTTGAATATATGAATATAGTTTTTGTAAGTCAAAGGAATGTAATTCTATTTACTTTTGGTAAGTAATTGGAAGCAGAAGAATCTTTCCCATCATTAAAGACAAGCATTTTCTCCAAGGCTGTGAGAAGCTGTTCTTCTTGCTGTATAAGCAGTTTTAATAGCAAAGCAATTTGCCACCTAAGGATCCCTCCCAGGAATATCAACTAGAGGAGAAAAAGTTCTTTTTTTCACATTGGGATGCTTAGGCTTTATGGCAGATAGGATTAGAGCTGTTCGGGATTAATTATATGATCTGAGCCTGTACCTCATCCTATTTCCCTTCTAAAAAACCATATATCAGCCAATAGTCAGCCCTGCTTCTTGAGTAGATAGAGTTTCTCTCTGGAAGTTATTTATGGTGGAATCAAGCACTGTAGCAAATTCCCTGATTATTAATGCCCCAGAAACTTGGTAAGAACAGATTGAGACTTTATTAGTATAAAGGATTCTAAACATTATTCTTCCAAATGAAACATTGACAAAACCTCTTAGACAGGAATGAGATGTTTGACAAGTGCTGAACAGTATGGCATGAGGTAAATGCATAAAAAAATGCTAATGGATTCAAGTGACCTTCTCTGGACAGCCCAGAGGACAGAGGGTTTATACCAACAATAAGGGTTATCACCATAAGAATTATACTACTCTCTTCTCACCTCACCCCCCAAAATCACAGTATGATGAGACAAATTTCACTCTGGTGTTTTTTGTCAGGGCCATACCCAACATTGCTTAGGGCTTACTCCTGGCTCTGCACTCAGGAATCCTCCTAGTGGTGCTCAGGGGACCAAATGGGATGTAAAAGATTGAACCCGATGTGCAAAGCAAACATCCTAGGCACTGTACTATCTCTCTAGCTCAAGACAAATTTCATTCTTAAAATAGTCTTTATCTTCTAGTTTCTAGAATCAACCATTCACAGAAATATTTGTGTGTTTTGTAAAAACGACAACATATATTCTAAATACACTTAGGAAGGGATAATAATTTGATTTTGCAATCTTCAAGTAATAACACTCTATTGACCTATTATGTTTCCACAACTGTTTATGTTTTTAATGGCTAACATGTTAACATCTAAAATAATTCATATATTGATATTCTTGAGAAATTATAGAAAGCATTGTGATGATTTTCAGGTCATTAAACACTACGATGAGTAGAAAAACCTGGAAAAAATGTCTTTGATTGAAATGACAGTTTAAAGCCTAAAAGTATGAGGTCCAATGAGAAAAATCTTGTTTAGATATTCTTAGAATAATATTCCATCAAACAATAATTACCTAAAGTAAAAATGTATATTTTCATCATCGTTCATAGAGATAACCAACTAACTGACACATATATTTAACAGTTTTCCTGTATTGGAGCATAGCCTTGAGAAAGTCAATGATTTCCCTGATTTTGAAAAATTGAGGAGATAAGCCTTTTTAGGTAGATACTTTAAGCATAATATTCTTCAGCTGAATGTTTTGAAATATTGGGAAGGCAGAGGTTAAGACAGAGGCTAAGAGGTTTCACTGGCAGACAGTAGTCTAGCCTGTTTTATTTCTTTTTTCTCTGTCTCTAGATGCTGATCTTGAACCTAACCAGTCACTGCAAAGAAATCATCCTATCTGCTGAACAGCTCTCCAATCTCTGCCCCCAAATTACATTCTTAAAATAATATTTATTTTATTGCTTCTTGCTTAGGAGTTAACTAACCACTGAAAGCTTTGTGTGTTTTGTAAAAGCAACAATATACTCTAAGTACACTGATCCTTCACAATTGGTGTAAGTCAAACATGACTAGTATAGTTATGTTATTTTTGGAAAAATAACGACTTTTATTGCAACCATCATAGTATCTACATAAAGTCATTCATTCTTACAGATTTTTACCTCTTGAAAATGAAGAAATAAAGCATAACATAATGAAAATGTTTTTCATAAGAGAGATTCTAGTTCCTGTCCTGATAGTGGCACAGCCAATACAAAATCTTTTTCTGACGGTGCACAGGGCTTACTCTTGGCTCTGCACTCAGGGTTCACTCCCAGTGGGCTTAGCACTACAGAAAGTAGTAGGAATTGAATCTGGGTCAACCATGTGCAAAGTAAGCGCCCTACCCATTGTACTATTGCTCTAGCCCCACAAAAGCAAATTCTTTTCTGACTAAAACACCATTTACTTATCTTAAAACTGATTAAAATTACCTTTGACTGAGTTCACCTCTAAAATACCCATAGAGGGCTGGAGAGAGTTCAGCGAGTAGAGCACTTGCTTGCCCGCAACTTAACAGGATTTGATTCCCACCATCCCTTATGGTACCCCACACACTGTCAGGAGTAGTTCTTGACTGCAGTCAACAGTGACCCCTGAGTACCACTGGATGTGACCCCCAAACCAAAGAAATACAGTAAGTAAAATGCTCACAAGACCCAAGAGAAGCCTGATCTTTCAAAAATAAAATCTTCTTCTACTGAATCTCCTATATAAGACTGACCAAATGAAAACTGTTTTCTACTGGGGGAGATCAGTCAGCCTTGATCCATTCAATGGGTCCAAAGTAGCACTATAGGTCCAGGTCCCATGTCACCATATTATCAGATTTTTATAGAAAGTCCAGCAATTCCAATTTGGGGTGGGGGTGGGGGTGGGGGCAGCACCCAGCAGTGTTCAGGACTTATTCCTGGCTTTACCCTTAGGGCTCATGCCTGGTGAGGTTGGGGGGACTATATGGGGTGCTGGGGATCAAACTTGGGTCAGCTGCTGGCAAGACAAATGTCCTATCCACTGTATTATTGCTTTGGCTTCAATAACTCAGATTTTTAAAGTTAGATATTCCAGTTTATAATTACTGATAACAATTTTAAAAATAAAAAAAATAGGGCTATGTAAGAGCCAAACTAAACCTATGTGTGAGTGGGATGAGGCCTGTGGCTGCCATTTTATGACTTCTGGTTTTGGAATCCTTCATTCTCTCTTTGCTTCTACAACAGGGTGAAGGAAGAGGGTCATTATGGGACCAAAGAGCATTCATGCTCTCCATAACTCTAATCAATCTTTCCATTTCGTTTAATTAACATATGAATACAGTAGGGAATCAGAGCAACCACAGTTAGTGGGATGGATGCACTTTTACAGAAAGACAACACATAAAATAAATGTTCTGAATGAGTGGGGATCTTGATGAAATGGTAGAGCTGCAGAATGATCAAGGAGGCCACTATGCAGAGCAGCCGGAAGTTCAGCTTGTAGCCGTTTTCCCCACGGCAGCTCCTGAGGAACATATCAGAGTTTATTGCAAGGCCCAATCCAACAAGTACCCCAAGGTTTCTCACAAGTCCAGCAAAAGGCGTGGTATCAATGTGGATCCAGTCAGGATTGGCACACCACTTTTTGGCTATGGGTACAGACCACAGCAGGTCAATGTCAAGCACTCTGAGGATCAAGTAAAAGCAGAGTGTAAACAGGAAGAGAAAGAGGTTGGTCTTCAGGTATGTGCCCAGGCTAGCAGTTTGAATATCTGGTGTGTACTCAAAGGCCTCTGCCACAAGCATGCCTGTGGATTAGAAAGAGACAGTGAAGATAACTAAACCTTTGAGCCCTGTGGGAATCACTTTCCTTTATAGCAAAAACACTTGGTCATGACTGCTAGTGATAAAGTACATTAGATCCCTGTGTTTTGCCCATTTCCTAACATTTTTCATTGTTTGTTAATTTTGGCACCATATCCAGTGATATTTCCAACTCATTGTAGGAGGTCATTCCTGGCATTGCTCAGGGGACAATGTAACAACAGGCATTAAATCAGAGGCTCCTACACACAAAGGTAATAACTAAAAGCATACAGTTGTTCCATACAGTGATCTTTTCACCATCCAACTTAGTATGTAGTTCAGGAGTCTGTGGCATGAAGTGACAGTTCATTATTTTATTGTCTAGGTGCTTTTAATTAGTATTCTAATTGTCATAGTTAACTTAGAGATTTTTTAAAAGATATGTGGGACAGAACTGTGGAAATTCCATCATGGTGAATGCTTCTTTTGGAATGCAAGTCAGCTGCTAAATGAAGTGCATAGTCTTGTAAGAATCACTTTAGGTGTTTCAGACAGTGGATGGTATACTGGTTAGAAGGCCACTAATAAGTTCCCCAAACCCAAACAAAAAGACTGTCTGCATTAGTGGTTTGGGAGTTGAACTAGCTTTAGTAAGGACATCACACTTTTATATTGTCAAGAAAGACATGGATGAATTAGGACTATGTTGAACCATTTAAGCTCCCAATGTAGAATTTAATATCAGTGACTTAATAGAAATACCTGGGACTGGAAAGCTAATTACCATCTGACAACATAAATATACATATATATTGCTAAAGTTTTCAAATGACTCAATTCAAGGTAAGTGATATTTACCACCAATTACTCCAAGAATAACTTGATGAGGAAAATGCGTTGCAATGAATACTCTGGAAATACAGACACTGATTTGAATCAACCAAAAAAGACTCCAAAGAAGTGACCGGGTCAATCTACAATGGAAGAACAGATACAGGTGTATAAAATATCATCATTCATAAAATGAGAGGACCCATACCAGATGATAGTTCTCAGAGGAATCTTCTAGCTACAATATAGGCAAAAATTATTCTAGAGTCTTTTTCTCCTCTGGGGAAAAAGACACATTTCTCCTTTTGGGGGGAAAAATGTATTTCCATATGCTCATAGGACTTAAAAATCTTTAATAAAAAATCTTTTAAAAAGGCATTTCTATATTTATTAATGTATTATAATTAACTAGTGCTATATATCGTGAGATTTTAATAAATGTCATAAAAGAACTTCAGTTTGAGATCCTGATAATTATATTAATGCATAAGGGAAGTTTGAATTTGGGAAATCACTAATATCCCAAATTATCAAGAATAAATAATGAACATTTTTTGTCTGTGTAATATATACAACCTTTTAACCTTCCTCTCTTAGTCTTACTCTGTTTCAAAAAAGTCACTGGAGAGGCATTTTCTCTGATGAAAAGCACACTAGTATGCCACAAAGGGCAATTTTCCTTTGAATTTCATAGACTTTTCTAATCCCTTGTTTTTTCAGACATAGAAAATAAGGAGAAGACTGGCATTTAGGTTACTAATTGATGATTATAAGGAGCAAAGTACTCCAAACACCCATTAAATTATTAAAATTCAAGCAAAGCTCATCATTTTATTTTAAATGACTCAATTATCAATATTGAGTTCTAGGAATCTTTGGGATTTTGCTCCAGATAATAAGACCAAACTTTAGTTATTGAAAGTTTATGATAAAAAAAATTTTAAAAATTTTAAAAGGAAAGTATATGGATGAAAGAAAAATAAATATTTTTTGGCTTTTTTTTGGGGGGGTGGCACACCACGTGATACTAAGGGGTTACTCCTGGTTCTGCACTCAGGAATCACTCATGGCAGTGCTCAGGGGATCATATGGGATGTCAGAGAACAAACTCAGGCTTGCTGCATACAAGACAAGTGCCCTTCCAGCTATGTTATCACTCTGGCCTGAGAAATGAATCTTTCAATTAAGAAGCAAGCAAAGATCATTAATATGAAAAGAGAACAAATTGAAGGATATATTATAATCACACTTAATAATTTTTGTTTCACAATTTTAATTATAATTAATTAAGAATAAGTAATATTAAACATTAAGGTAAGTAGTATACAATTTGTCCATTTTGATGACTGAAGGAAAAGTTTCAGTAATAAAAATCAAAGAAGAGTTAGAGTATTTTTAAAAGTTTTATTTTAGGAAAACTAAGCATTTTTTTCAGGTTTGGAAATTGGAGGGTAAAATAAACTACAAAGAAATGCTGGTGAGACATATAAATTCCTGCTTTGAAAAAGTGTCTATGAATAAAAATGCTATTTTTCCAATTATAACAACTATATACTGTTATTTGCATTGGATAATGGCTATATTAAGGTACACAAGCCACAATCTCATTTAACCAAACTTTAAAGATGTCCAATTTTTTTTGGTATTTGTTTTATATAAAATCCATACTATTCTAAAAAATGCAATGTCATGAATTTTAGAGATTTACTTTGAAAGAACGTTTATATAATGACATAAGTCATAATATTTTTAAAGCAATTAAAATACAAATCTTATCTCAGGCAGCCTAATAATTTCTAATTAAAGTGACAGTTGTGATCAGTTTAATGATAAAGTATTTTAGAAAAGAACAAAAAGGAAAAGACCAGATCCCACAAAATTTATGAGTAATCTTAAATTTGAGAAATTTCTAAATGTTATGAATTTAGGTCTTTCTAAATGTTAATCTACCTACATTCAAATTCAAATTTCCCTCTAAGATAATGTTTTTAACTAAAAACATTGCATGACTTTTAAAGCTAGAAAGTAATTTGTGTCAAAAACGTAGTCTAGGGGCTGGAGTGATAGCACAGCAGGTAGGGCATTTGCCTTGCACGCAGCCAACATGGCCGACACAGGTTCTATTCCCAGCAATCCCATATAGTCCCCCGGGCACCACTAGGAGCAATTCCTGAGTGCATGAGCCAGGAGTAACCCCTGAACATCGCCAGGTGTAACCCAAAAAGCAAAAAAGAAAAAAGCAGTCTAGTCAAAGAAAGAAGCATAACTATACAAAATAAAGTGATATATATGAAAGGAGGAGTTTCAAAATCTAGCCAATATTAAAGTAAGAGACTTCAGATACAGAAATATTTACTTATTTTAGATGATTTATTTATGAATTACAAAAGTGTTTATTATATTAAAGAAACCCAAAGGCACATTTAATAAATTATTAATCAGTTTAAAAGTTCTAACCACAATATGACAACAGCTATGAGCTAATTAGAATATTACCTTAAGGGAAACTACTAATTTTCCATTCATTTTGTCCTTTACTATAGAATAAATAGCAACTAAAACACTGTAAAATAAAATTTTAAAGATTTTATATACTCACAAATGTCTTATTTCAGAGCTAGAAATACTGAAGTAAATCAAACCTGTGCAGAGTGGTAGACCACTTTTCCATTCGGAAGACAGAGGGACTCAAGGCAGCGGTTACCATGACATACCAGACACAGGAAGAACCCATTGCATGGCCTGATGGACTTCCTGCAACAAGAAAATGTTTATGAAGATGAAAATGGCTTAGTAAATTATCAGTGGTCAGAAATGTGCAATAGAATAGCAGTCATGAAAATTTCAAAGGAAATAGAAACAATTAATAAGGTGTGAGGTATATGTAATAGAAAAAGGTAACAATAAAAAAAATTGAGTCAAATTGGGTCTCAAAATTCTTCTTTAAATTCCCCCCCACAAGAATCCTCCCAGGATGGGAGAAGCATTCTGAAAGTAGACTATAGACCAAACATGATTGCCACTCAATGCCTCTTTTGCAAATCACAACACCCAAAAGGAGAGAGAGAGAGAACAAAAGGAAATGCCCTGCCACAAAGGCAGGGTGGGATGGGGGGGATGAGGGGTGGGAGGGATACTGTGGAAAATGGGCACTGGTGGAGGGATGGGTACTTGATCATTGTATAACTGAAACCCAAGCACAAAAATTTGTAAGTCTACAACTGTACCTCATGGTGTTTCACTAATAAAAATTTTTAAAAAATTCCCCCAACATATTTTTAATTCATTAAATTATAGAAATCAAAACTTCAGGGCTGAATTAATCTCCTATAATCCTACTCATTCTTCATACTTAATTGCTTTTTTAATTGATGAGAAAATTAAAGTACTTGGATCTTAAACCAACTTACTTAACAAAGTAAGATCGCAATGGCATCAAAGGCTATCTATCCATCAACACATCCTTCCACTGGTTTCACAGAGATAGTATACGTAACATTCCTAACCAGATGGAATGCATAGTGTATTAGAAGACCATATATGTAAAAAATCATAGTATAGTTCGATCAGAAATATGTCACATGTGTACTTTTGTGGGAACAAATAAAGATATTTATAAAATTCATTATGAGATAATATTCACTATATTCCATTAGCTTCGAAAAAGACTCCTTTGTTGTTTAACAAATTGAGGCAAAGCACAATATAACACCCATAAAGTTAAAATGGTAATGTTATTTTCCTACATACTTACTTCAAAAAGCTTACTCACAGTCTTAAATTCAATTTTCACAGAAAATATTTTATTTTCATATAGGCTCGTATAGCAAAAAGTAAGTGTGCCCAAATTCTGTTACTTATATACTAAACACAAGAAATTTTATAGAAATAGTTCACAAATTAGTGAAAATACCTTCTGGTGATAGTACTAGCAGAGAGTACTTTATTAATGCTAGGAATTCTACCCTCATGCATGAGATTTTCAAAAGACCTATAACTTTGAAAGTTGCTCAGAAATAGATAAATCAACATTTCTAGGAGTTTTACAAAGTTCTTTGGGAATTTGTTTTAGTTGATTGGGTTTTTAAATTTAATATTAAAACATTACATTATTCTTCCTAAATGCCAAATATAAAACAATTTGTGAATTATTCTCCTAACTTATCCTTTTACAAATAACCAAATAAAATTTGATTATTTATCAATTTTTTCCTTATCAGAAAATTTTATACTCATGAACTTTTAGCATTTCTAGTAATGAAGGTCTCTATTTCACACTACATATAAAATGTATTTATTATATTATAATACTCAATGACAATCATAATATCCTTAATCACTTGAGTTTCAAAATTGCTTACCTGGACCTGTTTCACATGTTGCAGGGAACTGTTCAAGGCATGGACTTGAATAATTTGGGTAAATCTGAGTTTCTTGGACCCACCAGTAAGGTCGATGACCAAATAATATCCTGTTAAGGAAATATAATTATGCTCACAGATTTAAATATGAGGAATTAAGTGGACACATGCCATTTTCACCTATGAAATAACTGAAGCATGAGGGAAGTTCATGATTTTGAATGCTAAAATAATTTGGTACTATTCTAACTCTCATTCTGAAGGATGACAAAATCTTTTGGAGATTTTTTTCCAATAGAAACAGGGGCCTTTTTCCATGTGGGGAAGTCCTGAGGGTGCTTTGGTATTTAGACTGAGAATATAAAATTGTTTCCTGGAAACAGAAATCTTTCTGTTCATTGTGGATTTACTCTTTTACCTAACTTCTTGGGCTAATCACAAAATGCATACTCTAGTATTTGACAATTATAAGTCAGGGATGTATTTCTATACTGTTGGGGTAAATCTTACTTTAAAATAAGCATTTTAATTTAACTGATGAATTTGAAGGATTTTCCAAGTAAAACGACGTGCATTTAAAATGTGATCACTAAGCTAATTCTATAAACTTAAGAATAAATTTTAGAAAAATATAAAATAGAAGTCTTACCATTTAAAAATAAGATTGAACCAATCCCCAATGACTGCTACCCATATCATTTTGGTTCCAACTGTCTGATTTAGTTGAAACCAAAGAGGAAAGTAAATAGAGAAAATATTCCGAGGGTCTCCAACATTGGACATAAAATTTAGAAAGTTGTAGTAGGCTCTGTAATCCTTCTGTAAATGCTGAATAATAAGCACTCCATCCCTGTGAAGGAAATCCATCTTGAAACAGAAGCAATTCTAAACATAAAGCAACTAAGCTGTATGTGCTCTGTATTTCATTGTTTTTATATGGTGCATTTGTGGCGTGTTCAGCCATCAATTCAGCATGTGATGCTGACCATCTGGAACGGACAAGTCAGCCCTCCTCTGCTGAAAAGCTTATATGCTTATGATTCACTTGGCTCTAAAGAGGTGAAATACATGCTGATCTGTGGCAAATTGTGAGTAAATTTGGGGAAAAACAAAATAAATTTCTTATACAGCCTCCCTTTTGTGTCAACAGCTGGATGGTGTTTGCTTGAAATTTTTTGCAGTTCATCTCCTTCAAGGGTAGACATTAGCAATTTCTATGCTTGGCTAGAAGATTGCACAAATAATTACTGCATGCCCAATAGCCCTTAAAGTCAGTCATTTTAATTTAAAACAGGCTGACTTTTTGATTATTTTATTGGGTTTTTAGGAAAATGAATGAGTATCTGGGCATAAAATATTAATGTGGTGACATTGTTTTATGATTGAAGACTTTTACACATATTTTATATTTACTAGCAAAAAATGATATATCTGAACCTAGAAGGAAATTTATGGGTTATTTAAACTCTGGAAGGATATGTATTACTTTGTGATTATAAGGCAAGAGCCAAGAAGTGGAGTTAATTGTGCTCAGAAAGCTGTTTTAGGACAAAGTCATATTTTATTAACTAGAAAGTATAATTAAGAGCAACAGGGAATTGTTCCTATGGGAAAAGATAGAAATAGACTTCAAAGGTCTTTTGACTAATCAGAAAAAAGCTATCTTCTGAATACAGTGTGTTCAGTACAAGTGCTCTGAAAATATTGAAACAAATACATAGATCTGAAATAAACAGAAAAACGGCTTAAAGAGACTTCTGGATCCAAGTCAGAAGTGACATGCTGAATGTAGAGGCTAAGTTATGTCTAGAAAGATTCATGAGAAAATCAGTAAGTCCAATCCAGAAACAGAGGGCAGAGGTGGTTAACTTTACATGTTATCTAGGTCTTCACATCATTACCTTCATAGTTTAGTCTCTTTTACTAGGAATATTTATGATCTGTGACTATGACTTCAATTTTCTCTTGGAGTTCTGTCTCATCATGTAGCATCAACACTGCTGTGAGGAATTATATCTTTGATACTCTCTAGCCTATGTTCTCTTCACTGGCAAAAATGCTTTGACTTTCACTATCACTATCACTATCACCCCATTGTTCTTCAGTTCGCTCGAGCAGGCCCAGTAACATCTCCATTTGTCCCTGTCATGTGCAAGTGTAGCCCGATGACATATTGGGGGCTCCTTCAGTGTCAGGGGAATGAGGACCATTCATTGTTACTGTTTTTGACATATCGAGTATGCCACAGGCAGCTTGTCAGGCTCTGCCATGCAGGCGGCATACTCTCAGTAGATTGCCGGGCTCTCCAAGATGGATGGAGGCGTTGGGGGCAGCCTCTAATTACCTTTATAGGTGTTTCTAGTCAGGCATATAGGCGGGTATGATACTCTGAGTCAGTAGCCTGCCGGGTTCTCTGAGAGTGAGAACTAGAGAATAAGAGGTCGTGTGGCCGCGAATTCTTGATTTTATAGTCTTCCAGCAGCTTGGTGCTTTAGTCTCTGGATGACCATTGATGGGGTTATACAGCAGTTGGTGGCTGTAACTGTCTAGCTACTGGAAGGTGGGGGAGCTGGGTGGAGGAGGCCCAGTCCTGAATCAAGCAGGCTTGGAGATCTCATCCAAGTGTGTGGAGAGTGGTCTCAGCATGACTTTGGCTGGATCCCGGAGGCCTTCAGCCGTCAGGGCTCTGCTCAGGGTGGAGAGGGAAACTCAACCCGCCCTCCTCCAGGGGGCCCCGGCGAGGACAGCCAGGAGCGGGGGGAGGAGGCTCTGCCTTGTTCTCTTCCGGGAGCTTGGTTTGACTATCATGAAAATATTTTTTAGTTGTTTTTAAAAAATACTATACTGTACCCTTTTAAAAATATCATACCATTATCCTACCAAAGTGAAATTTCTAGTGATGGGACTTAAGTGTTGGTATTTAAAGAAAAGAAAGTTAATATGCTAAAGTATTACCTATCCTTTTACTATTCTACTTCATCCTCTATCTGAAGTGAAACTAAAAGAAGGTTCAGTGACATTTAATGTGTGTAAATTATCATATTAACTATATTTTTCTGTTAAATTATTTCTCTGTATAGTCCAACTTCTTAAGACATCAGAAAATCTTTAAAATTAAAGAAACCATAATCTAATGAGAAATTATGCAATTGGTGATTGTTTGTATATGATTTTGGTGTTGTGAATCAGAGGAAAGGAAACAATGGTGACAATTCAAATGCTCTCCTTGAGAAATAAGAGAGACCAGTGCAACTTTCCGCATTGATTTTTCTGTGAGCTCATGTGGAAGGATCTTAAAATATAAACTGGCTTCTGTCAGTGAGAAGAATAGTTTGAAAATCACAGGTGGAATTGTAAGTCATATTATGTCATTTTTTAATCCACATTCACACTGAGAGTTTTACCAGTGCCTTTATTATTTCTACAATTTCTGACGGAAAGCATTGGATCTCCTATGTTTCGCTATTTTCCCAGGTTAGGTTTTTCTACTCGTGTGCTGATGTAAGATTTGATATCAAATGATATCAAATGATACCAAGTGATAAAATATTTGGGTAGATTAATAGTACTGAAAACTCTGTTCTAAAGGTTTTGCATTTATGTTCTTCCCCATTATTTTCCTTTAAAATACTATATTTTACAGGAAATTTTAATATCAGCATTCAGTATCCCTCATTTAGCAGTTAGGAAATAGGCAAGGAACTTACTCCAGGTCACTTTAGTGCTAGATCCCTATTTGGAAATGAAATATCATTTCCAGAGCAATCTTTTTCCTGGACTATTCTGTGTCCAGTTTACCAATGTCTAACTCTAATAGTAGTAGAAGCAGCTTCAAGACGAAGATAGATTAATGCCATAATAAACTTTATCAAGTGTTTTCAACTACCAAGACCTCTGATTCACCCATGCCAGCTACAAAGCTTTTCTGTATTGTCTTGAGAGACAAATGATTGACATGGAAACACCTCTGGACAGCTGCCAAATCACTAAGAGACACTATTTCTCACTACTTTAAAGTTCTGTTATATGACTCATCCTATATTTAATATCAGAGACTCAGTGTTTTAGAACTACTGTCACTCCAGGATTACTGTTACCAACTCAGTCTGAGATATTCCCAAAAGATATCAAGTGGCACCAAAATGTGCATGAAGGTAGCTCCTTTTCATGTCTTATTACTGATGGCCCTATTTTGTAGACAGTTTCTTCTCTAGATACAGTTAAGTATGGACATAAGTGAAGAACACCAAATTATAACAAACAGATTGTTATCCTAATATTACTATAGCAAGAGTCAGCAATTAACATTTGCATTTTCCAAGGACTTAAGTGCACTTGGGAGACTAGGAAAATTACAGTGAAATCAAGAAAGATATCAGGTATGTTCTGATTGGAAGTTGTTGGCATGGGCAAGTTGGAAGTGGGTTCACTAGTGAAGAACATTCTATGTGATTGGTTGGAAGAACGCCTATGTATTTTTGTAATTGTTCTTGAACTGAAAGCAGTGACAAACAGGGAAATTATTGGTCATTGACTAAGTCGTAACCACTCTGGGGAGATTGTTTCAGAGATTGTGGGCCACCGTTTTATTATTTGGTTTATCAGATATCTGTTATTTGATCTGATCATTATTATTGGTTTTTATGTTCGGTCTGTCTCAAAACAAACTGAGTAATCCTATGTCAGTAGTAGTATATGTAACATCTAAGCAAGAAATAAAATAATCTTTGGGGCCAGATAGTACAGTGGGTAGGTGCTTGCCTCGCATATGGCTGACCAGGGTTGGATCTCCAGCACTCCATATGGTCCCCGAAGCCCACCAAGAGTGATCTTAGAGCACAGAACCAGAAGTAACTCCTGAGCACTTCTGGGTGTGGCCCCAAAACTAAAAAAAAAATGAATCTTGTGTATCCTGTGATTTCATACTTCTTACTATTCATTGAGTTTAAATGAAGGCATATGCTTGCTTACCATAGATGAATCAATTTATTCAGGCATTACACTATTCCAAAGCTATACTTCTGGCTTTTTTGTTTTGCATATTCAGGGACCATAATTTCCATAATCTCTTTAATGAGCCATAAAGAAGAACATTACTTTGCCTTGTCCTTTTCCCCAGAACTATTTGAGCTATATATTTTACAATATAAATTTTATTCAGAAATGTATTGTCCCTAAATCAGAGATGAATAATATCAATTTTGTCTTATTAAAAATTAATATTCCTGATCATTCAATACTTCAGAGTCTGTGGACTGTGATGAAAGCACCTGCACATTAACTTTTTATTTTAGGTAGTTATAATAGAGGCTCTGATGATCTCCTGAGGAACTAAATAGTACGGTGGACTATGGGGTATTAACCAAAGCAAAAGCACCTTCATTTCTTTTGCCTTCTACCAAGGTCTGTTATATCTCTTTATTAATCGTAGTTCATCATTCTTAGTTTGATCATAACTTAGCATATATCCATTTCTTCAGAAATGCCCTTTTATATCAAAATTTCTTTAACAGTGCTTTCTCTCAAATTGTTCCTTTGGGGAGGTTGGGGAGGTCATTCCGGCCACATTTGGTGAGGCTCAGGGCTTACTCCTGATTTTGCGTTCGGGGGCTACTCCTGGCTGCTTCGGGTACCATTTGTGGTGGTAGGGATCAAACCAGGATAATTGTGAATATTTTTTATCAGAGTAGAGGCAATGCAAAGTGAAAAATGTTACTCTTCTACACTATTCTTCTTCTGCTTCTCTTTTACATATTGACATCTGTCTCTTCCTTCTTTTCTCCTTTCTCTTTTTTCTTGTTCTCCTTTTCCATCTCTATCCCCATCTTTCTTCCTCTCTCCTTCTTATAATGCATACTCAGCTAATG